GTCGGTTCGTCACCCTCAGCACCCAGAGCCTGCACCGCCTGCCGCCTCACGTCCAGCAGAAGTTTGTCCGCCTCAAAGGCCGGGACAAGCTGCCCGAGCTGCTGCAGCTGCTCAAGGAGCGCCCATCATCAGGCGGGGCTGTTCTCATCTTTTGCAACAGTGCCAGCACCGTCAACTGGCTGGGCTATATCCTGGACGACCACAGAATCAAGCACCTGAGGCTGCAGGGGCAGATGTCGGCGGCTGCTAGAGCCGGCATCTTCGCCTCTTTCCAGAAGAGTGATGTGTCTGTCCTTGTCTGCACTGACCTTGCCTCCCGGGGGCTGGACACCAGCAGTGTGCAGCTGGTGGTCAACTATGACTTCCCAGACACCCTGCAGGACTACCTGCACCGTGCCGGGAGAGTCGGCCGGGTCGGGAGCAAGGCACCCGGAGCTGTGGTTAGTTTTGTCACCCATCGGTGGGACGTGGACCTGGTACGGAAAATAGAGACTGCAGCCCGGAAAAGGACGGGTCTCCCAGGAATGGACTCTATTAATAAACCTTCTCCTAATGCAGGTTGATTCAGGTTGCTCGGCATTCCCTGGTAGGGGCTTCCCTTGAGGCCGTTAAGGCAGAGTGAATGAGCTGCTTTGTGTAAGGCAGATTGAAAGAATAGAGCTGAGTTTCAGAACCAGGTGATCAGGTTAACTTTGTGCACTGTTCTGGAAGCTGCAGTATTCATTTGCACAGCTATCCCAGCATGTGGCTTTCTCAAAGGAAGCTAGTAAGTGAGTAACAGAATGTGTTTGGAGAATATTGAAGAATTACTTCATCAGTTGATTTGGTTTCCTTATTTTGAGACATAATTTAAATGCAAGTCCAAATAAAAGTATGTTTGTATGATATACAGTTCTATTGCATTTCATTACTGCCCACTACCATCAGCTAATATTCGTTATTAAAACTGAAAAATTGCTACTGTAGCAGAAGAAAAAACCTGACCAGTTACAGACACAAAGGTCTAAAGGACAAAGGATGCTTTATTTTCTTGTGATGTAGCAGTTCATTTAGAGAATTCTAGACCAGATACCTGTACAGTGGGAATGAGAAGGCACAATAATGCCTGGGGCTCTTTCAAGGCCTTAATTTGTTATTTTATGGTTACCTTTCACTGAGAAATGGGATCTTGCTCCTTCATATTATATTAAATAAAAATAAATTAAATAAAAAGCCCTAAAGTGTTTCCTGTACATTTTTTTTTTCTGCATACTATAGTGACATGTACAGTTTTTGAACTGGTTGTAAAAAAACCAAAAAACCCCAACCCCAGCACACTGGAAGGCTTCTGTTAAATAAAAGAAGTGTGTTGACTCACAGGTTCTAATGACTCTCACCTAACAGAGTGAGCGTAGGACTTCTTTTGAATGTTGTGCCTTTGTCCTACTTTGCTTCCAACCAAGAGAGTTGAAGTGAATCTGAGGTTATTTCATATCTAGCTGCTAGTTTGTATCCATGGTATATAGTCACACAAATAAGCATTTTAGCTCTGATTTCTGTGCAGTGATTTGCCCCAACCCTTTCTCTGGGTGGCTGTTTTTCCCATGCTCTCCACTTTAGGCTATGCAGTCACTGGAAATGTAGTAATAGTAGATTTCTACATTATAGTAAATGAGAAGATCACATCATTGAATCTAAATCTAGTTCCTAAGGAAATAATTCACTGGAGCTACTCTCAGTATACTGAGAGTAAAAGTTAAACAACGAGAAAACTTGCACAGATAGTCACCCAAGGATCAGGCAGTGACTTCATCCTGTTGCATTTGTGCTCTGTTCATATTGCACATTTAGGAGGCTCATAAAGGAAGTTACAAACTGTAGTAAAATTATTTCATACAGTAGCTCCCAAGCTTTAGAAATATAGTGAAAGAGTGTTCCATTTGGAGACTGGAAACCCATTCGTTGTATGGGCAACAAATTGTAGTTTAACTTCTGTAATTTACATTTTTACAGTCTATGGCAGTCTGGATTGCAGTACACAGAAATACTGAATTAGACAACACAGTGAAATAATGAAATTCTTTCAGCAATTTGCTTCCTACTTTTGAAGTAATATGCACTTCATATAGTTACAAGTAATAACCTTGAACTTGGTACAGTGCCCTTACCTAGGGCACTGTTGATCACATCAGTTTGTCGAAAAACCCAAACAAACAAACAAAAAACCCAAACAAACCCTCACCACAAATGTCAGGCATTTATATACTAAAGTGGCTAATAAAAAGCCACTTGGGTCGATAGATTCAAGAGAACACTACTTACCAACAAAACCTTTTGTAGACAGTACTTTCAAACAAAGCCACAGTTTTTTAAGCATATATTGAGAAATACCACTGTTGTATTGTTGCTCACCAAGAGACAGTTGCTGGAGCCAGTGATTAACAGCAGTAATTACACACAGGAGCACACAGACACTCACTTGGGGTGTATAAGCTGATACAGAGCCACCAAATGCAGACAGCCACACCACTGGCACATCATGTGAAAGGTGTAATTGCTCAATAGGTAAATGCTGCAGCAAAGCCTTCAAGGGGATATAGAGACCCTACCCCAGTAGTGAGCTAAATGTGTATGCAGCTCACACATGGTCAAATTGGTTGAAGAAACAGACATCCAAAGACTTTAGTTTGTCTTCTCCCAAACTGCTCTTTGAATGTTGCATCACTCATTGTTCACATCTCAATGACTGTCTACAGATGTAATTAACTGCTGTCTTGTCTGTACACATTCTGCCTTCTGTGTAAATCTTACTTTAGGTCCTATGGTTATAACTCAACTTCATTTGGGCTCTATCTTATGGGCATTCAGATAATTCTGTTGCACATAGTACCCAGTGTCTAGCAAGGTACAAGACTCTGTTGCATGTCCTCACGGAGAGGGAAATATGTCTCCTACCACTCCAGTAGGTTACCTGGCAAAGTGCACACTTTTGCAGACTCCACCGCTCCCTGGAGTGCGCTTGCACGCATGTTCTCCCCAGACAGAACCTTCTTCCCTCCTCTTCCTCCTGAAAGGTATTTGTGAGCCCGGCTTACACGTTTGTGGTGGAGTGGGTGGTGGAGAAGTTCTCCATGCGCACTCTGGCCAGTTTCTCAGCGGCCACGGGCCGCAGGAGGAGCTTGCAGCTGAAGACTTGACGGCAGGCCTTGCGGAAATTCTCCGAGAGGAAAGCATAAAGGATGGGGTTGATGCAGGAGTTCCCGTAGGCCAGGCAGTGAGAGATGATGCGGAAGGTGAAGGAGATGTTGTTCAGGGGAAAGTGCCCAAACTCTGCCCACATGGTGATGATGTGGTGTGGCAGCCAGGAGAGCAGGAACACAGCAACCACCAGGAGCACCGTCTGTGCCGTCTGGAGAAGAGAAGATCGTGTATTAAATGGTCACAGTAAGCAAGCAAGCCTGTGGGATGAGTGGGTTTGCTTTCCTGTCAGGCAACACTGACAACTGCCAGGTGGGCAAATCATGACAGTATGAAAAAGGATGCAAAAAACCCTGGTAAACTTGGATTGATTTGTTTTAGCTCAAGCAAATAACTATAGACACTTGAGGTAGTGCCCCTAAAACTTCAAACAGTTCAAAGCTGCAGCAGTGTGTTACAAGGAAGAGTGGAAATAATAGTTCCTAACACTTGGAGAGTGAGGAACATTGAGGCTATGGAAAATAACTGCAGGGGAAAACAACTTCCAAGTAAGCATGCCACTGAGAGGAGTAACAAAGGCTGGCCTGAGGTGAAAGGTTTTTCCAGTATCTTCCCTATTACAGAAGAAACTCAGAAAACCAATGCATAGAGGATTTTTTTTAAAATACACAGTGCTCATTGACATGTTCCTAGCTGGGTGACGACCTGAGGGAGGCTCCCTGTGCCTGTGAGATCCCAGCCTGTGCTGCCTGGGTTGGAGGTGTGTCCCTGCAGTGCTTGCTCCCCACTTAGCTGGCCAGCCTCTGACACAGTCTGTCATTTGTAAGTTCCAAAGCTTGACCTGAGGTTAAATTTTCATGAAAACAGTGGTCTTTGGAATTTCCATACAAAATGAAGGTTAACAGTGACAGTAAATAAAATTAAGCTGTAACTCACTTCAGCTTTCTTTCTGTAAGACCCTGAGGCCTGTGGGAGCAGGACCGCACTTTCCAAATTTAGGAAAGCTGGTAGTGTAGCTTTTCTCTCACTTTCTACTTCTAGAACACCCAGGGAATGCCTGGCAAGTCTCAGAGATTACTGACTTGGGGTCCCTAAGATCCTTTCCTGATGTTTTTGTAGGGCTAATTCTACCTGACTTAAAGAAATTTCAAAAATAAAAATGGTAATGCAAGGTGAGCAATTGTTTTGTATTTAAACCCTCAGTTTTGGGGTTCTGTAGCATATGCACAGCTGGTGACTTCCCTCCTCCTCCCCCACTTTGTTCTCTGCAGAATCTGCTTTTTACCTTTGGTATTTAGTGTTTCTCATTTCTATATTGTCATTTTAATAAATGTAACAACTTGCAAACATGCAGATTATATCCTTCCCCTAAGGAAAATTGTTGTACAAGTAGCAGAAAAGCAATGGAGAAAGATTAAAATTAAAATCAGGTTTCATTTCAGTTCAAGATTTACAGCCTTACTAATTTAGGTCAATGTTTCTGTCAATAATTCCCTTGCACGATTTCAAGTGAATAGTGTAAAGTTCCTTTCCTAGAAAAGGGATGATTTTCTAGTGAACAGAAATTTGTTTAGTCAGTGGTTATCAGGGTGACATTTAGTTAAACCTATTAACCTCTCTAAGGAAGATGTTATTACTTTAGATCAAGACTACAGTGCAAGTAAAAAAAAGGGATTTCTGTCAAATGGGTCTCTCAAGCAAGGTTCTATTAACTTTGAAAAGCAATAACCTGTAGGTTCATTGTGTACCTGACGTACTCCAGGTGCTTCCTTGTTTCACCTACCAGAATGCTGTCAGACAGCTGAGCTAACAATGTTCCCCTAAGAGTGAACAAACCGCCCTGCCAAGTGTCCTTAAACCAACCATGCTGGGAGGCAGATGATGTCCTTAAAAATAGACTGGAATGATTAGAAGTTGATGACACTGGAGGACACAGACCTAGTGGTCTTGTGGGGTCTGGCTCACCTGCTGTGGTACAATGGGTACCAAAGAAATTATTAATAAGCAGGTCCCATCATTAGCTTTCACCAGCAATAATGGTGCTACTTCTTTACCCTCTAGCAATGTTAAGTAGCTTAGGCTTGTTACCCAGGCAACCTTTCATAGCATCCATCTGCCTAAATTAGGGGGCTCCAAGCACTGAAATATGCTTTTGAATAAGGCTTATATACCTAGCTTTTCCCCCCTTTTATTGTGAAATAACAAACCGTGCATTTAACATAGGGCTGAGTATTACACAATGGGTTAGCAGTTGCTATGTAATAGCACAGAGCTGTTTCTGGGGTCCAGCTTTTTGGGATTTTGCAGACGGAAAACACAGACAATACTAGAGCACTCATACGTGATTCATGACTCAAGAAACAGGTCTTGGAAATGGAACTTTTCTCTGTTTTTTCAAGTTAAGGAATATGTAGTTAAAACAGAGGAAACTGAAACAAAACACTGTTTGGATTTTAGTGTGGTAACTTTGCTGTAGCTTAAAGTACTGTTGCTGTAGACTGTGACCAGCTGTGGAGGACTGATCCAAATAATTTGTGTATTGTTTGAACTTCTTCCATGAGCTATGACAGTTTGCACGGTTACTGCATTACTGTTGATCAAGCTGTCCCCACTTAATGCAAACCTTCTGGCTTGACTCTGAAATTTTGGTGGGTCCATAATAGAGCTGTACAATGGCCATTACTGGCCACCTCTGTCTCTCTTACTTCTCCTAGAAATCTTTCAAGCATCTCCAGGATATTCCTTACAGTGTATTTGTTGTACAGGCAAAGTAAGTGCATTGAACCTGTACAGTGAATCAATAGCATGGTGACAAAGACAAGGAGATATTTTTGCTTGTCAGATAATTCAATGAGCTTCTGTTATTCCTCCCTTTCCCCCGCCCATTTCTGTCATGTGCAGATTGTGTTGAATTTACTTGCTTATTCATTTGTTATCTTTGTAGGTCATCTGCCTCTCATTTATGCTTTCCAGCATTTCTTTGTCTGTTTTGCCCTTTTATTACTTTTCCCCCTGGCCCTGGACAAGCTATTTCTTGCTTTTAGCCTTCCCTCATCCTTCAAAAAGCATTGGAAAATGTGTTTAAAAACATTTTGGGTGAGATACCTCATTCAGGAGGATGATGAAGTCTTTAACATTTAATTGTGTTTAGAGCTGTTGTCCTTGATAAGCTTTTAATGAAGTTTCTTGCTTCAACTTGTCAGGCATCTTGTCAAGGGCAAAATTAAGATTGCCTTTAATGAGTCAAATGCTTCAAGTATTCCATGGATTTACATATTTTAGGAAGAACCACCTGAATGTTAGATTAATAAACATTCCTGAAATTAAAATATGAAGTGGACAGAAGAGTCTAGAGGGGTAGAGGGCTTGTCACTTTCCTAATTTAGTTCCAGTTGGAGACAGCCCAGCTGCACATCATTTTTCTGATCAGCTGATCAGACCATCCATTTCTACTGTGTACCTCAGCCACATAGAAATGGGAAAGAACATTCAATTAGGTTTTCAATAAACAGTACTGGCTTGGGGACAAACTGGGCTTCATTAGTGAGACAACTGCTGTTTCCTGAATATGGTGAGATTATTTTTCCTTATTTTCTTCTTCCATAATTTAAATGAAGAAGCATAAAAAAGCCTATGCCAGTTCTTCCACACTGTCTTATCAGCAAATTACAAATGACTCTTCCTTTATTACTGCTTTGTAGGAGGATGTCTGATTATGCCATTTACTGACAAATCTTTTATTCTGATATGCTATCTCTAACTTGTAGATTCTTCTCCTTAAAGTTTGAGTGACAATTGGTGCACATTTTTACTGCCCCATACTTCATTATGGCGAACTACAGAGTGACAGACTTCACTGTAACTTGTAATTTACTGTAGTGAAGACTTGGAAAATATGTAGTGACCCACGGTGCCTTAAGCTTTTGTTTTTAGGTTCTGCAGGGACCCAGTGTCAGTGCCCAGGAAGGACATGTGGCTTAGTGCAATGTACCACTGTACTGCTGGAGGAGCTTACCAACCTCAGAGGAAGAGAATTTCTGTGGCTTTACATTCAGGGATACCCAATGGAGAACATCCCTTTGCTCAGAGTCCGTCCCTGAGCCAGTGTGCAAAGTGAAATCTGCCACTTCCTTCACTCCTGGTGCCACGTTCTTGTTTGCTTTGCTGGCAAATCTGACTTGCCCTGGTGGATTTGCAAACATTCTTTTCCTTTTTGCACATAGAATTCTAACAGAAAGGTCCCAAGCACACTCTGATCTCCAGAAACATGCCTATAGCTTAGTGATAAATGCAAAATGTTTAGAATATGGCATACCTATTCTTGAGTAACTTAGATGTTGGATAGCAGCTATCTCTACTTCAGAGCATACACATCTCTTAATTACTACTGAAGCACTTCTCGCTGCCTTTTGGCCTTTTTTTTTTAATTACACTTGAGTCTAATTCTACTCGTCAGTGATCTGAAAACCACACTGTCAGTATTCTTTTTTATTGTTCTGTCTTCTTTCTTGGAGCCAGAGATGGCAGCTGAACGCCATGAAGAAGAAGAGGGACTGAAGTAAATATATTTTCAGATGTTATCAGCTCATTTTGATTACTTGCTTTATGTGCTAAGAGGGACTCTTCATTTCCCAGCAGCTTGCTTGCACTGTTCCTGCTGCTCATCTGCACATCTCTCATTCTGGGATTATGCCACTAATATCCTCTGTTGGTGCCCTTAAAATTTATTCACTTTCTATGCATAAATGTGTATGAGCATTGTGATATTTCTATTACCTCCTAATTGGTAATGATGCTCTTAATTCCTGCTGCCCTGGGCTCCTGTTAACCAAACGATGTGCAGGATGACACTTCTGAGTTATATTCTTCTGCTCCATGGATCCCAGGATCTTCAATGTTCCTTTGCTGTATTTTCTGTTGTTCAAATACCAAGGCCTTGAATGCCATATTCATTGTCTGCATGAAAACTTTCAATTTGCATGGACAATAGCCAAATAATTAGTGTAGCATACAGAGCATTTGTTTAGTACACAACATTTGTTTAGTACACAACTTTTATCTGCCTCTCTTGGCCAAGATGTTCAGGAATACCCATCAACCTTGAAGGATTCTGTATCTTTTACCTCAAGCTCTTGTATGACCTTCAAAGTGCAGCACTCCAGGGAGTGTCACAAGTAAACTCTGTGTGTCTTTGTGTTTACTTAGCTCTGG